AAAATTGAAAATATCGAGAAACTGAAGAATCGAAAAATTGAAAAATCGTCAAATTGAAACATCAAAAAATTGAAAAATCTAAAATTTTGAAAACTGGATATATTGAAAAATAGAAAAATCGATGAACTGAAAATTTGAAAAATCGCAAACTGAAAATATCGAAAGACTGAAGAACCGAAAATCTGAAAAATCGAAAATTCTGGAAATCGAAAAATGAAAAAATTGAAAAACCGAAAAATTGAAGAATTTAAAAATCGAAAAATTTAAAAACCAACGTTTTAACAATAATCGAAAAATTGAACCGGAAAATCTAAAAAAAATTAAAAAATTGAAAAACCCAAAAACTGAAGAATTTAAAAATCGAAAAATTTAAAAATCAACCTTTTAATAATCGAAAAATTGAAAAACCGGAAAATCTAAACTCCAGAAGTTGAAAAATCAGGAGATCAAAAAATTGAAAAACCTAAAATTTTGAAAATTGGAAATATTGAAAAACAGAAAAATCGGGGAACTGAAAAATCGAAAAATCGAGACACTGGTAATTGAAAATATCGAAAAACCGAAGAATCGAAAAACTGAAAAATCAAGAAATTGAAGCGTCAAAAAATCGAAAAAATGAAAGTCGAAAAAATCTGAAATTCGGCAAATCAAAAACTTGAAAAATCGAAACTTCAAAACGTGTGGATCGAGAAATGAAAAATCAAAAAAAGGAAACACCCAGATATCGAAAACTCGAAAACTGTAAAATATCGAAAAACGGAAGAACCGAAAAACTGAAAAAGCGAAGCATCAAAAAATCGAAAAATTTAAAATTTAAAAAGTCGAAAACATGAAAAATCAAAACTTTGGGAAATCGAGAATTGGAAAATCAGAAAATCTAAACATCGAGAAATCGAAAAATTGAAAACTTAGACATGCCAAAAATAAAAAATTGCGAAAACCGAAAAATTGATGAATCGAAAATTGAAAAATCGTGAAACTGAAATCCCGGAAAATTGAGAAATCGAAAAACAGGGAAGAAAAACATTGGGAAATCGAAATAGCCCACAATCGAAAAACTTGTAATTACAACAATTAAAACATTGAAAAATAAAGAAAATATAAGAAATCGAAAAATTTAAAAAACAAAAATTAAAAAACTATCTTGTAATAATCGAAAAATTGGAAAATTTAAAATTTTGAAGATTGGAAATATTGAAAAATAGAAAAATCGATGAACCGAAAAACCGAAAAATCGAGAAATCGGAAATTGAAAATATCGAAAAACTGAAGAACCGAAAAACTGAAAAATCGAAAAGTGGAAGCGTCAGAAAATCGAAAAATTGAAAAATTTTAAATCGAAAGATAAAAATTTTAAAAATATGAAAATTGAAAAACCGAGAAATCGAAATTTCAAAAATTTAGAAATTGAATCGAAAAACTCAAAACTAAAATATGAAAAAACTGAAGAATCAAAAACCCAAAAATCGAAAAATTGAAGAACTGAAAAACTGGAAAATCAAACACCGAAAAGTCTAGAAATTGAGAAATGGGAAAATCAAAAAGTCGAAAAAATGAAAAGTTAAACACAGAAATGCCAAAAATTAAAACATTGAAAATGTAAAAATCGAAAATCGAAAAATCGAAAACACGACTAATAGAAAATGTAAAAAATTAAAAAATTGAAACATCAAAAAATTGAAAAATCGAAAACGGACAAGTCGAAAAATCGAAAAATACAAAAAATTCGGAAAACAGATACATCGAGAAATCGAAACATGAAAAGACCGAGATGTCGAGAAATCGAGAAATTAAAAATTGAAACATTTTAAATTAAAAAAAATAGAAATATCGAAAAATCGGGAAATTGAACAATCGAATAATAATTATTATTACAATCGATAAATCGAGAAATCAAAAAACTGTACAATTTAAAAATGGAAAAACCCAAAAATCTAAAATTTGAAGTATTGAAAAGTACAAAAATCGAAAAACTAAAAAATCGAAACATCGAAAATTGAAAATATCGAGAAACTGAAGAAGTGAAAAACTAAAAAATCGAAAACTCAAAGCATCTAAAAATCGAAAAAGTTAAAATTGAAACCGAACAATCTAAAGTCGAGAAGTCGAAAAATCAAAAGATCAAAAAATTGAAAAATCTAAAATTTTGAAAATCGGAAATATTGAAAAATGGATAAATCGATGAATTGAAAAATCGAAAACTTGAAATTAAAACTATCGAAAAAATTGAAAAATAGGGAAACTGAACAATCGAAATGTTAATTGAAAAATTGAAGAATTTAAAAATCAATACCTAAAAAATCGAAAAATTTAAAACCGACAATTTAAGAACTGAATAAGTGAAAAGCCAACCTTTTAATAATAAAAAAAATTGCAAAATTTATAATCTTGAAAATGGAAATACCTATTGGAAAATAGAAAAATCGATGAATTGAAAAATCAAAATATAGAGAAATCGGAAATTGAAAAACGAAAAAATCGCGAAGTCGAAGCGTCAGAAAATCGAAAAATTGAAGAATTTAGAATACAAAAACATAGAATTTTAAAAATAGAAAAGTTGAAAAACCGAGAAGAAGTGAAATGCGGGAAAACTGAAGAATCCAAAACCGGAAAAATCCAAAATTGAAAACTTACAAATGCCAAAAATTAAAAAAGTATGAATCAAAAATTGAAAAATCGGACAACGAGAAATAAATAAATAAATCAAGAAATCGAGAATTTGAAGATTCGAGAAATGGAAAAGCTGAAAATCGAAAATTTTAAAAATAATTGTTATAGAGTTTTGACCATTTTCCAAAAATCTCAATCTCCAGGATAAAAATGCAACACTAATTCATGAACCACAATATTCGACAAAATCACAAGCGTTGATGATTGTCTTCAACTCCAAGAAGATATCAATATATTAATTAACTGGTGCTTAAGGAATCGACTCACTCTTAATATCCTAAAATGCATTGTCATGTCTTTCACACGAAAATTAAAACCTATCGTCTTCACGTACACAATGGGAACTTCGAAGCTTAAAAGAACAGATATCTATAAGGATCTCGGTGTCATATACGATACGAAACTTAGCTTTGTGAACCACATACAGGATACTGTTGCAAAAGCATTTAAAACCTATGGATTCATCTATAGGAATTGCAAAGAGTTTACGAACATTCGGTCTTTATCAGCTTTATACTATTCTCTAGTTCGCTCTAGGCTGGAATATTGTGCGTGTGTATGGTCTTCGATTTACGAAATACATATTAATCATGTTGAATCTGTTCAGAGGAAATTTCTGAAGTTTTTAAGCTTTATTGTTGATAGGACATATCCCCCACGTGGCACTGATCATACGTTGTTACGTGAAAGATTTCAGTTCACATCACTTAAAATTCGTAGAATATCATACGGCATTTCGTTTCTGTGGAAACTTTTGAACAATCGTGTAGACTGCACATCGCTTCTACAAAAGATCAACTTTTTAGTCCCCAGAACTCAGCATACTCGTCAAGTTTTTACATTTTATACACACCCCTGCAGAACAAATATTTTATGCAAGTCACCATTGCATGTAATATGCAATAATTTCAACAAAATTGCTCGGAACTGCGACATCCATCATGACGCTATTACAAAAATTAGACACTGCATCGTAACTTATTGGGACAATGAAAGTTAACTTAATTTATCATTAATTTTTTTTTTCCTTCTTTTTATTTTTATTTTAAGTAATTTCAACGTGTCATTTAACTAGCATGACTAATGTATATTTTCTGTAATTGGGTATAATACCTGTAGAAAATAAAGGTTTATTTATTTATTTATTTATTTATTTATTTATTTAAAAATTGTAAGATGGCATGATCAATTAACAATTTACAATACTTCCTATAATCTTGAAACGTTTGTAAGAGTTCAAAGCATTCGATTTTGCAATTTCAAAGTTAAATTGTAAAATGTTGTTTCAGTTTTGTTTTTCTTTTCCAAAAATGTGAATGCCTGGGGTAAAAACTAAACACGGATTCACAAACCACAAGTGGAGGAGTACGTTATTTTAGTAAAATTAAATTACATTTACTATTGTAAAATTTTGATTTTTGTCCACTTTAGACTAGCCAAGTGGCTATGGAATTATGAGAATCCGCAGAGAGGAGACAATTTTCGTTCAAAATGCCGTTCATGTGGTAAACTGTAAACTAAAGACTAACTTCATTTTTAAAAGCAACCAGTGTTTCTCCTTATGGCCGGACCCGCCTTAAACCGCGATGAAATCATGAACGACTTGGCAAAACGCACACTTAAAACCTCATAACACAACATTAAACCGGCCATAAATTATCCAACCGCTGCATCCATTGTCGCTTTTTTTCGGGCCATCTTGGCAGTGTTGCCACCAACGCCGACCAAAACCACCAGCTTAATTGTTCGAATTAAGCAAACGACCGGTGAAATTAAACGTCAATTACGCAACCATCTGCGCATTCCCCTTCATTTATTATTTTCCTAACTTAGGACGACACACGGAATTTTATTTTTTTGCTTTATTGTCTCTCCCTTGCCAAAACCATCGCAAAAACAACAATAATGACGTCAAACGCCTGCAATAAGTTAATATTCATTCTGTATTTTTGCGTGCGGAATTTGATTAATTCGACACATCTGCTCCCGACGATGATTTAACACATAATCCCCTGGTGACAAATATAATGCGCCGCTATTATTTACGAAATTGCCGCGTTGTCCATCGAAACATAGTCGAACCATCCGATAATTAAGTACATAATTCTAGCGCATCCGAGTCAAAAATACTCCGTATAGCTGTTTGCACCTGCGCTATTTTTGGAACATAATAATTAGGTTGTAGTCGAGTAGGCACATTTTTCTTCCGACAAGCCATTATACAACGTGAAAAATAAAAATTCAAGGGTCCGCACTCACACCGCAAACTTTCTCCCCTTTTGCGAGTGATCACCCAAATCCCGATGAAAAGGTCAGGTAAATAACACAACTTCGAAAAAATTATATTTAGAGTCACTAAAAAAAACCTAATTGTAAGTCATGTACCTCGGCGTGGCCGAGAACTTCGCATACGACTTGATAACCTTATTAACGGCCTCTAGAAAATCCTTCTCCGTCGCCACCTTCCTCCTCGCCCTAATAGCAAACATCCCCGCCTCCGTGCACACGCTCCGGATCTCCGCCCCCGTGGAGTTCGGGCACAGTCTAGCCAACAGCTCAAACCGAATATCCCTCTCCACGCTCATCGACCGCGCGTGGATCTTAAAAATGTGGGTGCGCCCCTCCAGGTCCGGTAACCCGAACTCCACCTTCCGGTCCAAGCGCCCGGGGCGCATGAGCGCGGGGTCCAAAGTATCGGGACGGTTAGTGGCCATTAAGACCTTGATATTCCCTCTGGGGTCGAACCCGTCCAGCTGGTTAATCAGCTCCAGCATGGTCCTCTGGACCTCGTTGTCGCCCCCAGCTCCATCGTCGAACCGCGCCCCCCCAATAGCGTCGATCTCGTCAAAGAAAATCAAACAAGCTTTCTTAGAGCGGGCCATCTCAAACAACTCCCGGACCATTCGGGCGCCTTCGCCGACGTACTTTTGCACCAGCTCGGAGCCGATGACGCGGATGAAGCACGCGTCGGTGCGATTAGCCACGGCGCGGGCGCAGAGGGTCTTGCCGGTACCTGGAGGCCCGAACAGAAGAACGCCTTTTGGGGGCTCAATCCCAAGCTTGACGAATTTCTCGGGCTAAAAATTGATCATTACTGAGGGAAACATAGTGTGAGAGTGAGTATTACGTGGAGTAGGGGGGTTTCCACGACTTCGCGCAACTTCTCGATTTGCTCCTTGCAGCCCCCCACATCACTATAAGTGACGTCAGGCTTCTCCTCCACTTGCATCATAGTGACAGTGGGGTCGATTTTCGGGGGGAGGGGGATGTGGATTTGGTACTTGTTGCGGTCCACCCTGAAACAATTTTGTCCAGTCAAACAAAAACCCAGGTCAAGGACTGGTCTTACCCAACTCTCATGCCTTCCTCAATATCCGTGGGGGCCACCGAATCCGCCAAATCCACCACAAACTTGGCGAACTGCTTCACGTTGATGATGTACTTGGGGTCGTCGGTGTCTGCATTGATAATTTTAGTGCACCGAGCCACCTGCAGCGGTTGTTCATTCTGCAGGGTTTGTTTATCGGCTGCCAAGTCCCATAACGCCGGTGGGGCTAAGCCCGTATCTGACTCTTTTATTCCCGTGAGTTCGTTCACCCGTTTAATTATAGTCTGGATGTCGTCCTCGACGGTTTTTATGGTTTTGGTGTATTGACCCTGGCCCTAAACATCGCCAATTTAGGGAAACTTAAACACACAGACGTCGACGTACTTACGTATGACTTCAAAAGGGCGATGTCGCCTTCGTCGAGGGCTGGAATTGGACAGTTTTTGTGAAAGTAGGCTATGACGACAGGTTAGGTTGAATGTACTCACATTTAATTTCCTTCTCGGGTTCTTCTTTGTCGGTTTTGACTTTTCGCATGTCTTCTCCTAAGTGGTCAGGCATTTTTGCGACTTTTCGGGTGTTTTAACACAACTTGAATTGTCTTGACGATTACAAGCAAAATTTTCAGGATTGACGTTTGTGGGGTTGTTTTGGTGGGTTTTGCGGTGCCAACTGTCGGGCGCCAACGATTGGTAGCGAAATCACTAACACAAAATGGACAGGAAAGTCACAAAAAAACGAAAAATCATGTTTTATAAACTTCAAACAGAAAAAGTTGTGTTGAAATTAAAACAACAATTTTAAAATGTAAATATAATTCGGGAAATTTAAGTCACTTATGCTGTTTCAACGGTTAGATGATTGTGTATTGCTGGTTGCATAACCGACGCGTACTAAAATTAAAGTAAACACAACAAAGAAATAGTTCTGTCATACGTTCTAATTTGTGGAAAAGTAAGCATTACAATGCGCATTTTTAATAAATAGGATTTTGAGATGACGTCATCAATTTTTTGATGGGAATAAATAAACATTCTTTTACTAGTGTCTTAAGGAAGAGGCACTATATTGTATTTCTTTTTTTCTATGATCAAATTATATTAATATTACAACAAACTGCAGTTTTTTTTATTGTCTAAACCCCTCTCAGTGAGAGCGAAAAATATCGTAAAAAAAGCACCATAGTCTTTCTAATTTATGACGACAAAATCGATTTTGTATATATACAAACTGTCCCGGAAGAATGAATGCTATTGTTCCGATTATTATATCAGTAACTGGTAGATTTGGAGTTATACCGGGTGTCTGAAAAATGGCGGATTAACTTTTCAGTACGTTATGTACAGGGGTATAGGGTTACTTTCTGATTTTTTAGTAACGATGGTGATTTAAATCCAACTTTTATTTTTTTAAAACAATAACCTTAACTAAACACTAGAGAAGACGTTAAAAATTCCTGCCTTGTGTATATAACTAAGCTCGTAATGTTTCCAAATTTTGATCATTTTTTGTAAAAGTTAATCATCAGTACTTGGTAAGATAAAACTGATTTTGGCAATGACATATATTCTAAGAAAAGAGAGGGTGGGTGTGCGGGGCTAGTACCTGCTAAGAAAAGACTGATTTTGGCAGATGAGATATCCTATAAGAAAAGAGAGGGTGGGTGGGCGGGGCTAGTACTTGCTAAGATAAGAGTGATTTTGGCAAATGACATACCTTCTAAGATAAGAGAGGGTGGGTGGGCGGGGCTAGTACCTTCTAACACAAATCTTATTTTGGCACATGAGATACTCTCTACGAAAAGAGAGGGTGGGTGGGCGGGCCCATGGTAGAAGGAAACATGGTATAGGCATCCGATGTACCAATTTAAAAATGGTCTGCGCATCCATTTGTGACGTTAGGTGGCATCAACGACCTTGTGACTCTTGTGAGCTTCGCTAGGGAAGTCTAGGGAATTTCAGATTGAGTTGTCAGTGCTCTGTCCAATACGTCAATTAGTTGTCGGATAACGAATTGTATTTTAAATTTCGCGCTAATTTCACCCCACTTGACGTCACACCCGATGCGTATGCCTATACCATGTCTCCTTCTACCATGGGCGAGCCTACTACTTGCTAAGATAAGAGTGATTTTGGCAAATGAGCAAATGACATACCCTGTAAGAAAAGAGAGGGTGGGTGGGCGGGGCGAGTACCTTGTAAGATAAGAGTGATTTTGGCAAATTAGATACTCTCTAAGAAAAGAAAGGGCGGGTGGGCGGGGCTAGTACCTGCTAAGATAAAAGTGATTTTGGCAAAGAGGTACCTTCTGAGAAAAGAGAGGGCGGGTGGGCGGGGCTAGTCTCTTCTAAGACAAAACTTACTTTGGCAAATGAGATACTTTGTAAGAAAAGAGAGGGTGGGTGGGCGGACCTAGTACTTGCTAAGGTAAAGAGTGATTTTGGCAAATAACATGCCCTGTAAGAAAAGAGGGGGTGGGTGGGCGGGGCGAGTACCTAGTAAGATAAGAGTGATTTTGGCAAATTAGATACTCTCTAAAAAAAGAGAGGGTGGGTGGGCGAGGCTAGTACCTGCTAAGATAAGACCGATTTTAGCAAATGACATATCCTCTAAGAAGTTTTATTAAATTATTATAAAAAAAAATACACTATACTGCGTACGGTGAGAGATTGAGTGACAGAAAAGTCACAAAATCTACGCGAAGAAAAGTGTACCCTCCGCGCGAAATTTGAAATTTCAAAAACATTCTAATCTTAAGCGCTACAAAACATAAGTTTTACATTATCTACTAGAACATTCATCTTTATTAGGGTACGTGTCCACTGGAGAGCAACTCTCACGAGAGTTCTGGTTTTGATTTTATACTATCTTTAGTTTTAAGAAACCCTGGGCAAGCGATACGCTTACCCAGTTGAGAGCAGGCCCGAGCATGGCCTTACGGGCTGATCTTGGGATTATTATTCGCAAGCGCCCTCTCAAATGGACACGTACCTTAAAGGAGCACTGGAGATGAGAGTCAGAAAAGTGACCTAACCTTAGTAATGGAACTTTCAGTAGTTTTAGATTTGTAACAGAGACAGTGACAGCCAGTTTTGAGTGACAGCGTAGGAATTTCAGTATATTTTATAGTGTTAGGTTGCTGCCAACTTACATCTCAACTGTCAAAATATCCCAATCTCTCGCCGGAATCACTATACTAGAGGTTTCAAAGCACTTTCAAATTCTTTCCAAATAGGAATACCTAGAACTTCAAAATTTTTTTAAATTGAAAAAAAAACGGGTCACAAAATTAACTCCAAACAGGTCAGGTCAGAATTTTCCAAAAATAGACCATCAAAGTCCTCTATTTTCTTAGAGAATATCTCATTTGCCAAAATCAGCTTTATCTTAGCAGGTACTGACCCCGCCTACCCACACTCGCTTTTTTTAGAGAGTGGGGGAACTAGGGGCTTGTTGTAACATTTTCTTATAAGGATTTCATTTGCCAAAATGAGCCTTATCTTAGCAGGTAGTAACCACGCCCACCCGCCCTCTCTTGTCTTAGGAAGTATCTCATTTGCCAACATCAGCTTTATCTAAGCAGGTACTAGTCCCTCCCACCCGCCCTCTCTTTTCTTAGAGAATACCTCATTTGCCAAAATCAGTTTTATTTTAGCAAATACTAGCCCCGCCCTCTATTTTCTTAGAAAGTATCTCATTTGCCAAAATCAGTTAAACTTATTAATACATTATTTGCTTTAGATGTTATCATAACTAACCAAAAAAATCTAATAAATTTTCTTCAATGATCAATCACCTACACTAAACTAAGTTCTCTTCTTTCAAATCCAAAACCAAATAAGTTTTATCTTAGCAGTACTAACCCCGCCCACTCGCCCTCTCTTTTCTTAGAGAATACCTCATTTGCCAAAATCAGTTTTATCTTAGCAAATACTAACCCCGCTCTACACCCTCTCCTTTTTTAGAAATTATCTCATTTGCCAAAATCAGTTTTATCTTAGCCCCGCCCTCCCACCCTCTCTTTCCTTAGAGAATATCTCATTTGCCAAAATCAGTTTTATCTTAGCAAGTACTAGCCCCGCCCTCTATTTCCTTAGAGAGTATCTCATTGGCCAAAATCAGTTAAACTTATTAATAAATTATTTACTTCAGATGTTATCATAACAAACCAAAAAAATTAAATAAATTTTCTTCAATGATCAATCACCTACACTAAACTAAGTTCTCTTCTTTCAAATCCAAAACCAAATAAGTTTTATCTTAGCAGTACTAACCCCGCCCACTCGCCCTCTCTTTTCTTAGAGAATACCTCATTTGCCAAAATCAGTTTTATCTTAGCAAATACTAGCCCCGCCCACCCACCCTCCCCTTTTTTAGAAAGTATCTCATTTGCCAAAGTCAGTTTTATCTTTGCCCCGCACGTCCACCCTCTCTTTCCTTAGAGAATATCTCATTTACCAAAATCAGTTTTATCTTGGCAAATACTAGCCCCGCCCTCTATTTTCTTAGAAAGTATCTCATTTGCCAAAATCAGTTAAACTTATTAATAAATTATTTACTTCAGATGTTATCATAACAAACCAAAAAAATCTAATAAATTTTCTTCAATGATCAATCACCTACACTAAACTAAGTTCTCTTCTTTCAAATCCAAAACCAAATAAGTTTTATCTTAGCAGTACTAACCCCGCCCACTCGCCCTCTCTTTTCTTAGAGAATACCTCATTTGCCAAAATCAGTTTTATCTTGGCAAATGCTAGCCCCGCCCACCCACCCTCTCCTTTTTTATAAAATATCTCATTTGCCAAAATCAGTTTAATCTTAGCAGATGCTAGCCCCGCCCACCCACCCTCCCTTTTCTTAGAGAGTATTTCATTTGCCAAAATCAGTCTTATCTTAGCAACTACTAACCCCGCCCACCCACCCTCTCTTTTTTAGAATGTATCTCATTAGCCAAATTCAGTCTTAACTTAGCAATTACTAGCCCCGCCCACGCACTCTCTCTTTTCTTAGAGAGTATCTCATTTACCAAAATCAGTCTTATCTTAGCAGTTACTAGCCCCGCCCACCCACCCTCTCTTTCTCATAGGGTACGTCCTTAGTAAAAATGAAACAGTATTTAATTAATTTTTCTGGTCGATCAGCAACTAAGATTACTGGGGTGCGATTTTGTTTCTCGATCGAAAAAAACTCGATAGCGATAAAATCTCGTTTGCTGATTGGTTGAGAGGCTGAGTTGGTGAGACATTTCTGTCACATTTCTCGATTCTGTCACGAAATCAAGTCTTCATGGAGTGATATTTTCTCGATAGCTCTGAATGAAGTGATAAATTTTTGAGACATAACCTCGAAATTTATGTCAAAATAGAAGTTCAAAATCGTAATTCTGAGTTATAAGTTCTTAAAGTTAAGGTAATTGTAAACTTTTGAGCATTTAATAAGCTTATATGCAAAGAATAAATGCAAACTTTGCATTTAAAAGCTACGCAATGACATTTATCGCAAGTGATAATTTATCACTTCGATCAAGAAACAAAATCCCACCCCTGATCCCAGAAAGCAAGTGTTAAATGTCTAGTAACTTTAAGTTTCTATGTCATAATTATCTAAAATATTAAACCATAATATCGTTACGAAAGGAACCCATACGCCTATGGGTCTTCTAGTGTTCGTTCTG